ACGAACATCCATTCAAAGCACCCCATTTCTAACTTACAGACCAGTTGTTCTACTTTGTTTTATTCATCAAAAGTGCCCTCTGTCCAAATGAAGCAACCAATTGAGACAGATGGTCCCTGACTTCACACTTCCAGGGGCAGAGGGATGCTGTGGGAAAGTGAGATGCCCTGATCTGGGTAGAGTTATAGAGTAGTTTCATGATTAAGGGAGTTTATTTCTTTGCCAGCTCCATGCAAAGCATTGGGTAGACACCTAGAAACTCCTACATCTTAAACATCTGAGAGCAGGTATGTCTCTTTGGATGAAAATCTATAAAGAGCACATCTGTTAGGCAATGGAGGAGCTTGATGAAGGTTGTCAGGTGTTGTTGGTATTGTATTTGGGCTGTGTGGGCTGGAGGTGCTGTGTGAATCCAGCCAAAATTAGAAGAGGAGTCTACAACCAAGGACCCAGCAGGATCAGAAAGAGAGATCTGCAGGATGGAGTCGCTGGAGGAAAAGACTGCAATAATCTTTCAAAAGATTGTCCTTTTGAAAGGACACACCAGATGTCAAGGAGGAAGGCTTAACAAAGATCCTGGATTTCCAAGAAGGTCAAAAAAAAAAAAAAAAGAGCTATTTTTCCTTCTTTTCATCCTCCTCTCTAAATTAAAAGCAAGTCCAAGAAGTGAAGTACTGAAGTTGTCTAAGCATATCAGAGTTTTGACAAGGAACACCTGTGTGGATCAGGAAGGGAGATGGTTAAGAGGCTGTAAAGAGGTCTGCATAAAAATGCATGCGTAGTTTGTTAAGCTAAGGCCGCTGCATATATTAGAAATTGTAAACACAAATTATTTGAACACAAATTAATTACTTGAAAAGCACTGTAACAATAAACATCCATGTAATTTAGAGACAAACACTCTGTGTGTGTGTGTGTGTAGAAAGTTCCTGTCCTTTTCCCCACCCTTGGACAGATGCATCAAGGCAGAACTGTGCACTTTTGCAAAACACCAGAATGATTCAGCTAATGGTTTTCAGTAATTTTTCACTTACTTGGTTCAAGTGATAGTTTCTTTATGTTCAGCCTTGACAAAAGATGAAAGGGGAGAGGGATATGTTAAGCCTCTTCAGCACCTGAAAAGATGTTGGGGATGCTTTAATCTGGTTCCCTACACGAAGCAAGGCGTAAGACATGATGGGGAACAGACAAAGGGGTTGAGCTGGCAGGGATATTCTGAGCAAAAGTCCCTCTAATTATAACACCTTGTTTCGACATCAGATAAATAATAGATACAATTGTTTAATCTGTTTCTTATTGAATATGGTTAGCTTTAATTATCACTAGCAGCCTTTGTGTAAAGTAAATCTAACACTGCAGTGATTACAATAGTCTAGGGCCCAATTCAACTTGGACCAATGTAGAGGACACTCAGTTTGATTCATGGAAGAAACTAGAAATGAGATTCAATGATCCAGAGGTTTGTGCCTAAGTAGGAGACAGATAAGGACCAGAAATGAGAGGAAGGAAAAAAAAATACTTTTTTGAGCTGTCTTACATTTCAGAAAACTTTACCTATAAACATTTCAATTAACTTTATTTTGTGGTGTTCAACTTTATATTGAGGCCCACTTTAGACGTTCAAGGAAAGCAGCATCTGATCTCATGGTATAAAGCCACTTACTGAGGACCACATTTGGCTTTTGAATTGATCCTCAGGAGTCACACTGGTACAGCATCAGAACCAGACAAAGAAGTAGGCAAGACAAAAAACTAAAATTAAGTTTTAAGCTTGATTTAAAAAAAAAAAAACTTAAATTATCTACAGTTAATATGATGGAATTATATGTTTTCCTTCTTCTATGTTAAAATTCATCAGTAACTCTACAGTTGCTCTGATCAATGCACTCACGTCTTTGGGGCAAGCTGTGTATCTCTGGAGTAGAACTATTGTAAATCTAGGAGTTCCTATGCTTAGAGTCTTGTGCTTTTGTAAACCTGGTGTAGAACTTTATTCATGATTCCAGCTGGAATGTTGTTTTGTGATTATGTTGCTGAGTAAATCTGTCTAGAGGATTTTCTCCTTGGAGAATGTGTCCTGATACCGCAAAGGGGAAATGAAACAATTAATTTTATCTGGTCTTCTGATAACAACTCCAGAATCAAATCTTTAAGCAATGCAGTAATAGTGACATCTGGTGGACTTTCCATGAATGTTTGGAAATAGGAAAAAACCAGCTTCCAAAGGCCTATCTAACCCATATTTGAGATTCCAAGCTGGCCAAGAGACCATCTGAAATCAAAGTTCAAAATAGGGAAGCAACAAGATTAGATTCAACCTCATTCAAGATTTGAGTTGACAAAGTAACCAACCACAGCTATCAAAATGCCTTCAGGAGCTTCAGGTTTTGGCCAGATGAGATGAAAATAGCAGGAACGATAGATCTTTTAGAGGACATGAATCCTGTGACATGTCAGTGGGATAAACTTCCAGCGTTTCACTGCAAAGATTTGAAACATTCCCATTGCATCTTTTTTAAGGTAAAGAAAGCAGGTCTGAGCAAAGAGCACATACTCTTATTTTTCCAGTAAAAAAGCTGGAAAAGATGCTGTACCATTGCAGGGCATATCCTACTCCAACTCCAAAAAATAAAATCTTCCCAGAACGGTTTAATCAGGAAGATCTGTTTACAGATCCAAGAGCCCATCAGCCTCTGGCCACCTGCTTTTCTAGGTTGGCAGACTTATTGGACTCTATCTGCAAGGTCAGTCTCTTTGGAGAACAATGTATTAGGAGGCCCACCTGGGCAACATTTTATTGAAGTCCTTAGAAGTTTGCCTTATGGTATAATTCCCAGTAGAAATGTCTCTGGTTTAAAGTCTATATGTTGTTTTGTCATTTTTACAGTAAAGAACTGAAATATCTGATTGTAAATGTTT